GGGGCCGGGGGTGCAGGATGTGGGGCTGGGGGGTGAGAGCAGGAGGCCAGGGCCGTGGTGGGGCCGGGCTCTGACTGTTCCCCGTCCCCGCAGGTGGTGCCGGGGGTGAGGGCTGAGGGGCCGGGAGTGAAGGATGTGGGGCCGGGGGTGAGAGCAGGGGGCCGGGGGTGAGGGATGGGGGGCTGGGGGTGAGAGCAGGGGTCCGAGGCCGTGGTGGGCCCGGGCTCTGACCGTCCCCATCCCCGCAGGTGGTGCCGGGGTACGGCCACGCCGTGCTGCGGAAGACGGACCCCCGTTACACCTGCCAGAGAGAATTCGCCCTCAAGCACTTGCCCAAGGACCCCCTCTTCAAACTGGTGGCCCAGCTCTACAAGATCGTCCCCAACGTCCTCCTGGAGCAGGGCAAGGCCAAGAACCCCTGGCCCAACGTGGACGCCCACAGCGGGGTCCTGCTGCAGGTGAGTCTGGGGGGGTCCACCACCACCCCCCGGGGCTGGGGGGGGTCCGAGGGTTGCCCCCTTGCCCTGACGCCCCTCTCTCTCTCTCCTTTTCCCCCCCAAAACAGTACTACGGGATGAAGGAGATGAATTACTACACGGTGCTTTTTGGGGTCTCCCGGGCCCTGGGCGTCCTCTCGCAGCTCATTTGGAGCCGGGCCTTGGGTTTCCCCCTGGAGAGACCCAAATCCATGAGCACGAAGGGCCTCATGCAGCTCGTGGGCTACAAATCCGGGTAAAAAAAGGGATGGGGACAGGGCCGTGGCTCGCTGCCCCCCAGGGAAGGTTGCCCCATCGGGCCCCGGACACCCTCGGCACTGAACCCCCCCCCTCGGCACCGGCCGTGGGGCTCCCCCCACACCCCCAAAATTGCTTCTCTCCCCTCCTTGCTGTTCTGGGAGGGGGCAGAAGCAGCCCCAGGGGGGTCACCCTGCCCCATAGCGGGGTCACCCTGCCCCATAGGGGGGTCACCCTGCCCCACGGCCCCCTCCCCCGGCGAGATGGGGGGGCTCCTGTGCCCCCTCCCCACCCCAGCAGC